GGTACACATTAATATCATATTTCCGTTATGTTGTTGATAAGGTGTTGTATTAAACTACAGTTATACTTTAACATAGATTTCCAGCGCACATTTTGCATGGTAGCTGACGAAAAAATTAATTCGTATGAATAATATTATTACCGAATTAACCCATTAGCGCCGAGCGTTGCCATATGGCAACATAGGTAGACCTATTTTTAGAAGCTAATTTCTCATTGGGAATTTGACCAATAAAAAAAATTTAAAAAAAAAATAAAAAATTTCGGCGCTAATGGGTTAAATGAGGAAATTGGCAATTTTAATTTTGAAAATCTCACGATTCATTTATACCATACGATCTTCTAGTGAAAAAGGTCATTACATGAAATAATTACAAACGTCTGTCGCAATATTTGGTGGTGTTGTTTTAAGCTTGACTTTAATGAGGTTTTAGATCAGACAATTGGTTGCCTACAATATATAGATTCAAAACTATACAGCTGGAAACAATAATCGTACATTTAATTTACCGTGTAACTTTTTTGTGTTTTCCGTGGAACTTTAGAGGTCAAATATTAGTAATGGCCAGACGACATAGTACTATAATTACCAAGGCAAAATATTTATTTTTCTCGAATTTTTACTTATACTTGAAAGTATTCTCACCGGTTCGTATGTGTTGGATTTCGTGAAGAACTCAAGCCAAATAGTACACATATTAATAGATACGATTTATCTGCTGATATGATAAAGGATAGTTACAAATACAAAATTACATTGTACGATGAAGACCTTATTTTTATTTTCAATCGCATTGTTATTAATTATATCCTAATGACATGATAGGTACTTCATAATAATATTATATAGGTAAGCCAATAAATTGGGTAAGTCGCCAGGTGATCAAAATAATAATATACTGAGACCTCAGGGATTGCTAGGTGTTTTTTTTTTTTTACGTAAGTTGAGTCACTGTTACGCAGTAACGACATTTAGTTGAAAAGGGAGGACAATCGATTATTCTATTATTAAAGAACTTCGTGGGGGTTTTTTGTTCATACTTAAGTATTTTATCAGTTTTTTTCGAAAACTATTCGGAACTTTTAAAAACAAACTGTCAAATAATATACAATCTGCGTTCGATTGGTAATCCACAGATGAGCTGCAATGAACTTTTTAAATATTTTTACTGAAACAAAAAAAATGTTTTCCTGAAACAAAAATAGCATGCGTCACTGTTCAACTATTAGCTGTAGTTTAGATGGTGTAGAACGATCTCTAAAATATTTGGGTTGAACTATCGTCGAAGAGAAAAACTTTTTCCTTAAAGTATTAAAACTATAATATGCCGAACTAAAGTAATACCATTTATGTTCATCGGTCAAGTCAATAAACGTCATATACAGGACGATTAACTAAGCACGCTCATAAGTCATAGAGTTATTAATTAAATTATGATTTTTAGAATATTGTTATGCACCTAATGGTCTTGTTTCCAAATATGTAGTTAGGCTTATAACATCAAAGGAATCTCCATACTAACTTTTTTTTTTGTCAAATGAGAATCACCCTTAAAATTACAGGTGGTGAATTGTTAATCGGATTATTTTTTTTTTTTTTGAATTTTGATTTATTTATCTAAATTCAAAGGAAAAACAAGTCTTTGTACTAATTTACTTTGTACAATAAGGATAATGAGTTCCGTGATACTACATTTGGAATATAACAAGAGTGGGCATTAACGAGTTAAAAAGTTAAAGTGAAGTTAATAAGTTAATTTTATATTAACTTTTTAACTTACCTAGTTAATTTTGGCTTTTCATTAACTTCTTAACTGTTAACTTACTAAATTTCTTTTTTAATTAACGCGATATTAACGAGTTAATTTTTCATTTCAAGAAGTAAGTTATGTTAATTTATTTTTATCATATTTCAGTCTATTTCGTTTTCATGTCAAACAATGTTTACCATAAATTGTTTAAAGTAAAAAATGTATATCATTCAAATCTAACTAATATGGAAATACTGTATGAAGTATGAACACTATACTCTATAATTAAGTTTTGGTTTGATAAAAATTAAGTAGTCTAGTGTTGTATAATCAAATTAATTTTTTTTTTTACTTAATAAAAAGTTAACAAAATGTGTGTATTAACTTTTAACTTAACTGAGTAATTCTATAGTTAACTTAACTTTTAAATTTTAACTTTTTTTTTATTGGTGCATATTAACTTTACTTAACTCAGTTAAAAAAAATCATTAACTTTCCCAGCCTTGGAATATAATATGTAGGCTTTGTGATGAATTGAAAATTATAGTAATTTAAATAATCTATCAACATTTTATATTTTATAAAAACTGTCAGAGTATAATAAGTATTTACTATATTAAACATTACGTTTAGAACACTTATTAACTGTATGAAAAATCCATGAATTTGAAAATGTTGCATATTTAAAATTAAAAAAAAATAAGAATTTTAATTAAGTCATTATTAAAAGTAAAAAAATAGCGTCGAGCCATCTTGAGCCATCTAAATCACTCTTTACATATTATTATACAACTTGGGCTATACAATGTTGTTGCCAACACGAATTTGTATTTACTTTTTTTTTTATAAAACAATGTATATAGTAACAGTTATATATAGCTCTCTTGGTAAGACTGTAAGAGGTTCCAATCGCTATCAATATTATTTTGCATTTTTACGCATTTATTTGCATTTTAATTCATTGTTTTTCCTTTTAATGTATTTCTTCTTTTTTTTTCTTTTATAAGAGTATTTTGTAACGATTTCCCGTTAATGTCCGTATTTTAAAAACAGTTTTTTTTAACTTAAACTGAAAAAAGGTTAACATTAGATAAGGTAATTAACATTTTTTATTTTAACATTATTTATTTACCATTAATTATTAAACATTTTCTTTTCCTATGAATAATGTTAAATAAATAATTACTTTTTATAAGTCTATTATTAGTTATTTTAAACTTTAGTTAGTTTATTATGACATATTGTTTTCTACGAAACAATATTGTTCAAATTTTGACATACGAAATACCGTTATATTATGACTAATTCGATTTACTAATACTCAATAATATTATTGTTTACTTATACTTAAACTATGTGTCACTGTCATATTATGTTTAGGATCTAGTGTTTGTAAACATGTCAATACCTAACCATCGATAACGCATTTTTTTTTTATATAAATGGTTCAATGGATGAAGTACCACTCCTTGGTCTTCTACACTTATTCGAATTTATACACATAGTACTTACTACCAACTCCCCTTTTACGCGACCGTTCTGTCACGGTAATTTAAATAGTTTTTTAAGAACTAGAGTATACATCACCGTAAGTCTATTAATTATTATCATTGTTGATACTTTCGTTCCTCGTGCTTATAAACAAATATCTGAATTGAAACATGTTAAACGTACCTGCAACAAAAAAACAAAACAAAAATGATTAGTAAAAGTTTACTGTATTAAGTTAAAAGCGAGAGTGAAACATATAATAGTCTTGATATTATTGTTTAATGGTCTCAAAAGAACAGTGTCTACGCTTCGAGATAGAATATTATCAGACTAATAATTATATGATAAAATATAAAAATATATAATTTTTCACATAGAATACGTTTACGTTAACAGTTTACGTAACCAGTCATCACACCTTTTATCGTTCAAAAAATATAACCTCTTCTTACACGAATCGGTTAGACAATTAATTCTTAGTTTGACGAGTTCTATATATTATATGATTATAATACATAGACACATAGTTATGTAATTTGTGGGTACTGGGTAGCCTCCCTTTGAAAATTATTTTCAAAAAGGTCACATTGAAAATTGTGTAAATATCTTGGGTTGTTATCACGCAAAGGTTGAGAACCATTGCAGGTACTAGTTGAAAATGTCAACGTATATGAATATTTTATTTTTATTTATCATCACACAAAGTAACATTGTATTGTAACATATAATTAAAAAATGTAATTAATTCTATCGGTATAATAATATTGATTTAATTATATACCTATAATAATAGGTAGCTGGACATTAACACACTAACATTCATATAAACCATAAAAATACAATTAAATCGATAAAACAAAGCCTATACTGGATTCGATTGTTCATTTCCCGGGGTTTCGTTCGTGTATAAATAAATAAATTGTTTGATTGACCCACTCCCTCCAAAGCCTCTGAAATCCCCTTTGAAGGTCCAAAGTAGAACGAAACATGACACGAACGCATCGTAATGAAATATCCACAAACACACAAATAAAGAGCATTTGGATATTATATATACCCGTAAGTACCAATGGAATGTGAATCGGAGACAAACAATATTTTGGCTAAAACGTACAGACGGAAAGGGGTAGATTCATGAGTTTTTGAGGACTTGATGAATTTACATATTAGTTTTTAAAGTAAATATATGAAATCCGACTCGATGAGAGGGGAATAGGAGGTGGTGTTCTCGTTCAAACGGTGTCTAGGGTTAAAATTTAAAATTTTGTACTGAATAAGAAGTAACCTAACTTATTTATACAAGGTTTATTATATAATAAAAATTTAGTTATTGTTTTTTATTCAAATGTACATCAGAAGACAATGTCCGTATGTTTGTAACTCATATAGGGCTCAACAACGAATAAATACGAAATACCTGTCTTTTCCATAAAAAAACGTTCATAGGAATAAGAAATAAAAACGAGCACAAAATGTATATTGTGCTATATAAAATGCAATATTTTAGATTATAGAATCTAAAGTTTGTTGATTTTTCAATTTAAGAAAATCACATTTTATTATACCTACCTAACAATATTATTAATGAAATTACCAAAAAATAACAAATATTATTATGCTTCCAGCCGGAATCGTAGGCAACCCGCGTGATAACACGGGTCGCACACCATCGCACTGGTAACCAGGTCGTGTTTAATACCAAAACCAACGATATTATAATATGCTTGAACGAAGTTTTTGACATAACGACAACTCCGACATGGACGGCGAACGCAGTGTCAACGACCTCGGGAAAGCCGCCGTCGTTGACTTCACCGTCGTTGCAGCGGGAGCGTCGGTACCTTTGCACGTGACGTTCGACGAACCACTGGCCACCGTTTTTCAGGAGGGCGTGGGGACGTCCGAACCGGAACTGCGAGACCAGCCTGGAGAACCACCCGCGGCCGCCATTGACAAACCGTCCAAGGTGGCTTGCGTCAGGTGCCGCAGCCGAAGCACCCTCCGCCGTGGACGTCGCGTCCGGAAAAGAAGCCATATGCGTCGCATCCGAAGTCGTAGCCTGCGCACCCGAAACTACGACTGCGATCGCCCCTTCGTTGTGCAGATGTCCGAAGAAGAGGTGGCCGGCGACGACCGACTCGGTGGGGACCGCAAGTCCAAGGAATGTCTGCCGCCGAGGACCACCGGCCACTCACGTCCACGCGACGACGGCCGGCAAGGGGATTGGCATTGCGGCCGTGAAAATTCATAACAATATACTTAATAATTTCCATTAGATTTTTCTTTAATACACTTACAATTGTAGTAAAATCGTTTTCAGCTCTACTCCACCCTCCCCCGAGCGAAAATTTAGAAATTATACTAAACGTTCCAATTGGAACAGTTAGGGTACATCGTACACGTCTAAAGAGGGCGTCGAAATCTAAATAGACATCGTGAAATCGTAATTATAAGAAGAAAAAACAATGTAAGCCAATGCAAAAAATTGGTTTATCCAAACTGATGTTCGAACTTGAAACATTCTGTACTAAGATAATATATACAGTGGTCGCCGCTTAATGTAATCACTTTGGTACGGGACAAAACTGATAACATAATCCGATTGATAACACTAAACAAAAGTTTAAAAAATAATAAAACCTACGTTCAATCAAAAAAAAAATAATAATAATGAAGTGTTGCATTAAATTTAATATACATAATATACTGGTATACACATAGTTATTAAAAAATATTATTATTTAATTTATTGTTATTTATTACTAATTATAGCATATTTGTAGGTAAAAAAAAAAATTAACTATTACTGACTTGAACAATATTTTTTTATTGATATCGGTTTTTTTTTACCGTTGAAAGATCATTGATACATTTTTCGTATTTGTAATGTAATTCAAAATGTGATGTGTGTTGTTGCACTCCCCTTCGTAATACTCGTAGGGCCTCTCTCATTTCAAAAGAACTTGGAGGTTTTTCAGAATCTGTTTGTGGCTCGAGCTCAATTTCTTCATTTTCAATTTCTTCTCCGTGTTCATTTGTTTGTGATAAATCATGTACAATATCTTCTTCAGTAAAATTTGATGTTGTAGGTATATTTTCATCGATTTTCAGCCAATTTTCAAAATCTGAGTAAAAATACTCGTATATAATGATGATTTTTTGACCTCAAACTGATAATATAATGCGGCGTATTGATTACAATAACCGATATAATTTACACATTAACGTATATATCCGGCCCGTACTTATACTTTTCGATAACAATAAACGATTGATAACATTAACCGTGATTATAATAAGCGGCGACCACTGTAGAAGTGCCGCTGCGCCAACAGGCTTATTACTTTAGAAATAATTATTAACTATTGGAAGCAAAAAACTAAATTTATGTGGGCCATATTATCGGGTATAATAGGATTACCTAGGCACGGAATTTCAAAACCACTTACCGACCACTAAATTTCAAAATACTCGCGGTTGCATGCACTTTAATTGACAAGAATTAATTCAACCAACCGAATCATGAAATTACCTACTAATCATAATTAATTATATATAAATACTAGCTGATCCCGAGCACTTCGTTCCCCGTTAAATGTACCAACTCTATATAACTTTGTTCAATTCGTTATTTAATATTTGGTGTATGGCGTTCAAAATTTATCTTAACTTTTCTGTTGCACGGAATAAAAATTCTGATTCGCAGCAGTATATCATCAGGTAGGCCATGTACCTGGAGTAGATCGCTGACCCCGTGCTGTTTTATGTAAGTGCATAATTTAACTCTAAATTATCAAAGTTATACCAAGTTTGTCGTTTTTACTTAATTCCACCTATCGTGGATTAGTACAATCAATTAATACAAAATCCTAACCTAAAATAACCGACCTAAAATCCGATGAATAAAAAAAACCGAATTTAACCCTTTTTAATTTAGACCATCTTCTTTATAGAGGTCTAATCTACCCACAAACATTAATTTATATATATATTGACAAAAAATAATAATACAAAATATCAACAAGCATGCCTGATTAACCAATAGCAACCAATATATAATACACTATTACTATTTTAATCCGCAACAATAAACTACATTTTTTATTATTTAGTTAATTTTTTTTCTGGACAGATGAAGCCACTGTAGTATTTTTGACATCCAGATTTCCTACTTTTCAGGTGGATTCTCCTAAAATTTTCTATCATAAGAACCTTTTCCGTGATATACATTTCTGTTTAACAAAAAAAAACAAGAAGATCTGATAAGTAGTTCCAGAGTTTAGCCTGTAGGGAGATTTTCATTTCACATTTATATAGTTAGAAGATAGATAATACAACGTAAATAAATTATCCGTATAGGAGGTGCATAGAGACCGTCTTGTTTGCTCAGAATCGATTTTTTTTTTTTGTAGACTTACAAAGATTTACAACAGAAGAAAGTCTGTCAGTATTTTTTATATGATAAATAATTTTCCGGTATCCTAAATTCGTCCCTGTTAGTATACGTGTCTTATATTATAACAATGACTTTTTTAATGTCAAGAGTTTACACTAATCCGGCATAATTATATTATGGAGTGGAACAAATAAAAGAATACAATAAATGTTTATAATATCGCTATTAATATTAACCTTCGAGTTATTACGTTCGCAAAAAGTCGTTATTGAGTTCTGAGTAATTAGTGTTTTATACTTTTATATAATATATAAAAGGTTGCTCACAGTATTTTTTAATTGCAGTTATTCAAAATATGATTTTTGAAATATTTTAATATACTATTAAAGACCATACTTTAAAATTTTTGAGTTTTTTCTAATTGCTTACTTAAGCAGTATAGAAACTTCTGTTTTTCAAATTAGAACTGCACTATGTTACTGTAAATGATTTATTGGGTACTTTTTTTTTTAAATGTTGATATATAAGTACCTCTAATTTACAATTCAAACGAGTATCTATCAGTTATTAAATTGTCTATACCTGAACAATTTAGTCCTTAAAAATGGTCCAAGTATTAATAACACTAGATCCAACCTCACATCTATTTAAAATGTCTGTAATACCGTTTTTAGAAGTTTTATCCTCGGAATAAACATTTTATCGGCAGAAAAGGTCGTTATTCAAATTTTTAATTCGGTAAAAAATATGCTCTGTGAACCACCCTGTATGTTTAATAACGGAAATTTATACTGCCTTCCTTACCCGGTTGAAATAATCGAGTGATTTGTTTTCTAATTTTGAATTTTTTAAATGACTACACAGCTGTATTACAGTGATAGGCTGCAAAGCATTAGCAGGACCAGAGTATAATTTCCTAAAGGTCAGCCGAATCGATCTCCGAGTAAAATACTAAGGTCGGATATATATCGAATCCGTGTTAGGAGTTTTTAACGTAAAACATCGATGATCTGTCATCATAAATTTAAGACTTTTTAAATTTTTTTCCGGCCCGGTCCGATTTATAAAACCTAACCGGGTGTGGGTTATACGGTTTCTCTTATTTTTCTATTATGTCCGATAAACGATTTCGATTTATTTTCAACCAAACGCCGCCATTCCTCCCAAAACGTATACGGTTTGTCGTGGCCGAAATGCTCCGGAGGCGAATTTAATTAAATTCGTATAACGTTCAATTATAATGGGATTCCTGTCGATGGCCCAACCATTTTGGCTGAACACAAAAGCCGACCGTGGTTTATTCAGCAGCAACAATACGAACGTGTGGCGCGTGTGTAGTATAAATTATAATTAATATTGTCATATTATAATATGGAGTGCAATGCGACATGACACCGGTCCATCTACCGAAATTTGTTGTGTACAAAGCAAGTTGAAATGCGTCCATGTACCTCTCTTTCTCTCGATATTATAATCATATCGAACAACCGGGTTAAATGGTTATCATCAACCAACTATGAATAGGCATAATATAATGTCTCGACTAGAGAGTAATGAAATAATTTTTTAAATCGGATGAAATCAATTTTTTATTTTCCAAAAATATTGTTTCTCGTTACGAATACACCCAAATACAAATAATACGTTGGTGCTATTAAAAAAACAAAGCTTTTAAAAACATAAACCTAGTATCAGGCTATAACTATGAATCATAATATATTTTATGTTGCATTAATATCATATTATGTGCTCTGTAATTTATTTTAGAGTATTAATTTGTTCAAAAATTAAACAAAATTTAAGCCAAGTCCGTACATACTTATATATTTGTCAAGTCAATTGATGCATTCAAACATATTCATTTTAACTGTTGACTTTATCGGAAAAAAACTCGTTAAACTAAGTTAACAGAGTTAAAAAAAATACAATTTACTTGCCTAGTCTCGCACAAATAATGTAATATAGCTGGTAAGTACTTTCGAAGTCGAATGAAAATATTTGTTGGTTAATTTTTTCAAACCACTTGCTAGGTACTAAAACAAATTTGTATTTTTTTTTCCTCATTTTAAGTCAATATTATATCTTATCTAAATTATCCGTCTAATCGAGCAAAAAAATTCTTTGTGACTCGACGTATTGTCATAGAACATTTTGAAACATTTATTTCGATTGTAAAGTTTAAAAATGAAAAGTTCAATTCGTATATTTTGCAGGTGAAGTATAAAAAATTAAACTGTTTTTTGCACTCGATGGATTTGTTTTGAGTCGATGACTTTACTCTAAAACAAAGTCCAAAATATCCAAAAGTGCAGTGCGTTTACGGCATACGTCACGAATGCAGTACGACAGATCACACTATTTTTTGCGCTCGATAAATTCGTTTGTCAAACAAATAGGTAGTTAAATTTATATCGAAATACATATGCGGTCGCGTGCATGGATTTAAATCAGTTTATTTGACGCGATTTTTGTACCAGAACCCCCATTGCGATGGAAACTGTTTTCCCCACCACTCGTGTCGAATGTGAAATAAAAAATATAAGGTAGGTAGATACATCACAAATGAGGTATGCAAATCGAAACGTTTTTTAGACTCTGTGACTTTGATTCTGTGACCGTAAAAAAAGTGTAAAAGACCGAAATACATGCAACATTATATGCGTGCATGGATTTAAATTGACTTTAATTCGTTAACGTATCTGACGAGATTTTCGTGCCCGAAAACCCACTGCATTCGAAACGGTTTTCTTTACCACTCGTGTGAAATAAAAAATAAGCTTCCAGTTTTGTATAACTATAGCCATCTCATAAAGTCAAAGCTCGTTCTATGTATCGATGCTTTGATTTCGAGCCGC